AACAAGGCGTATTTTCGTCTAATATGATTAGACTAAATGGCGTTTTGATGATTGGTTGTTAGGTTATGAGCAATTCGATTTGCCGAGATTTGACAGCCCATCAGTCCGGCATTTTGTTAACTGGTGATTTTATGTATGTATTCTATTCAAAAATATTCCAGGATGTCATAGTGTCAGTTTGTAAGTAACCCATAAAACAGGCAGTGTTAAGGAAAAATGGAAAGAAAATGGCAAAGAGGAAGAGGGGAAGCTTTTAGGGGACAGGGCGCTTTTAGACAATGTAAAAATCATTATACAAGTCTTGATATGGGTTTTGCCAAAATGCTCTAATTGTGATTGTTCAAGATTCACAAATTGCTCGACTATGTAGTCCACTGCCTCGAACAACAGAGGGTTGCTGTGCGATTCCGCTTGGCTGTAGTGCCGCTCATGTTGCTTAATTACCCTTAGGTAAGAGGTATAGAGGTATCGCATTTGACATAGGAAATTGCAATGTAACAAATACAGTTATATAGTCAGGGCGCTTCCCGTACCTTCCGACCTTGCATCTTTTCCAGGTTCGTCCTTACTTACATAATTTCAGCTCACATGGAAATTTTAAATTTCAAGCAAAAGAAGAAGGTGCTGAGAAATTATCAATGCAAAATGATGGATATTATCTTTATACACCAAGATTGTATTTTTATCCTTTTCAATCGAAATGTTCAGATATTCAAACATTCATTCCTAAAGGAAAACGACCACGAACAAAAAGGTCTTCTTCCATTTTCATATTGGAACTGACCCCAATCAGAAAACAGCAGAAATCAGCACAAACTATGTGATATCAATGTATAACGTAACAGCTGTTTTGTGTAGTTACTAAATGTTGGGACTTTGTGTTGGAGATAAAGGAAGATACAAACAGTGAACATTTGCAATAAGTGAGTGATTATGCCAAAGATTTTCCTTTTAGATTCGATTCTCAGTGGCATTAGGTATACTAAAACAACCATAAAGCAAGATAATTAAACATATTCTTTTGTTACAGGTAAGTTTAAATCAGCCAATCATATCATTCCACGAGAACCGTAAGTAAATTAGGAATAATAGTCAGACTTGTATAGTATAGTTACTCCTGATATTTGTTTGGCAATAGACAGTGATATTTGACATTTGTTCAATTCTGTGTTTTACTGCTGTTTGGCTAACTACGCTATCGGTATCCGCATATAACAAAGCTTATATTGTTTTACATCATACATCAAAGACAATGAACTTTGCTATTTAAAATTAGGGTGAGATAACCTATCGCACCTCATGCCTGATTTGACAGGCATAATCTTAGCTGCAAAGGAATTTGCGGGCAGAAATGTTACAGGCAAAAATATTAGGATATGCATAACAGGCAGGCCATACTGGCTCTCAATTATTACAAGCTCACAACGGGAACAGTACTAGACTGGCAAGTGCATCCACCAGTACCAACATAATTCATGCCTGGGTGAAGAGTCAATCACAATCCCAGATAGACCGACAAAACTGCCTGCTGATACTAAAATTCTAGACTCAAAACCCCTCTGCATTTCACCCATTGGAGTCACGTCAACTATGCTAAAAGAGCACCTAGGATGATACGTCGGGTTTCTCATTCGCTGAATCCTAGTGAGGAAGTAGCAAAACACTACCTGTATATCTCTAGATAACAACTTCAGTTTGCCACAGTGGACACTTTCAGCTAAGGAAACAACTCTATAACATGAGGTTGTATGACACATCCTTATGTAGAGGTTGTGAACAGGTAGATGAGAGCGTCAAGCACTTGCTTTGCGACTATCCAGTTGTACTATCAATCCAAGAATCCAATCTACGGGAATGCTGGCCTTCTGTGGCTAGTGTAAGGTAAACTCCGCTGAGTCGCATCACCTCCTTTTTCAACAGTCTGCGGTTGCTGTTAATCCTGCCTTGAGCGACCCCTGAGCAGGCCGTACCAGGCGGCCAGTGTAGCCTAAATGCTGTTCTGTTGACTTGAGTAAGGAATACAATATACCTGATTTGGTTGGTAGATGATTTGATAGGTGACTCACTTTGAGGTTTTTTCGAATCCATCAAAGATTAAAACAATCGGCCGCGTTACTTTCGTACGAAATCAGTATCCATGATATTTTTTTGTTTTATTATTTCAAATGTTTGTTCCAGAGTTATTTTTCACTGCGCTTAACGTGAGCCGCCATGGAATTGCAATTCTCGATTAAGCGTCCATGCATTTCGACCGATGTTTGGCGAATTGTTTAGACTGATTTCTAATTCTTCGATCGTAATTTATTATCTATATAGATAGGAAGATAGAAATAAAAAAGTCGATAGGTGTGGATCTAGGCGGTCAATTTATACACTTTTCTTTTCAAAAATGCATACGTGAAGTTCAGTTTCATGCAAAAGATAATTGCTTGCTCCTGGTATGTGTTTCCTAAGCGACGTATACACCGCTGTGAAAAATATGGCTATTATCGATTATGTTCGGCATGTCTTAGATGTCGGAAACGAACAAGAAAAGCAGAGGGTGGAGACTGGAGTACAATGGGCTCGAACACGATGTTGTTTGTTCGCATAGGGAAAGAACGCGACAAAGTGGCAACAATAGCTGGGCTGATTGTGCTCCGGAGACGTGCGATTGGACAAAGCGACAGCAACGTATTGCAAGTAAAAGTACGGCTTCTGCTGGCGCTTTGCTCCTGCTGCTGCAAAGGATATGGTAAAATTTACTAGGTGTATCGGCATAAAGTACACTAAAATACACGTTTGATGGAAAAAAGGAACACTTCAAAAAGTGGAGTTGAACAGATTGGTTCAGTACACGCATCTACTAATTCTGCAGCGAAGACCGATACGATATTTTTTGTTCATAAATGATAATCATATTGTCGTAACTCGTAATGTTAGTCAAACAAAATTATTATTAATTCAATTGGAAAAATTAAACACATTAGGGGTAATAAACAACAACAGCTGACAACATAGAGATAGCATTAAAATAACGAAATGATTACAAAAATTGTTGAAAATGGCCCCCTTCACTTAGTATGCATGCTTCCGCCCTCCTTCTCATGGAACTGCGCACTCGTTAAAATATCCCTGGAATGTCTTTTATTCTATCACAAGCTGCAAATGTTCTTTATCTTAATTCTTCTACAGTGTTGATGGGACTTGTGTACACTAGTGTCTTCAGATAGCCCCCAAAAAGAAATCTAAACTGTTGAGGTCTGGGGACCTTGGTTGCCATTCTGGGGGCCTACCGCGGCCAATCCAACGATTTGGATAAACAGTTTGTAAATAATTACGAATCGCTACACTGAAGTGTGCTGGTGCACCATCATGCATGTACCACATATTGTTTCTTATTACTAACGGAACATCATCAAGCAGCAAAGGCAAATGTTGTTGAAGAAAATTGAGGTAAGTCTATCCGGCAAGTCGTCCCGGCAGGAAGAATGGGTCAATAAGAGTGATTGCCAATAATTCCTGCCCATACGTCAACCGAAAATTGGTGTTGGAAATGGGTTTCGGTTACGGCATAGGGATTTTCTTGTGAAAATTCTGAATGGCATTTAAAAAAAAATAGCTTAGTCCGTGAACAGAATCATTGATTTAGATTGCGGATTTTGTATAATTTTTTTAAGATACCACTGACAAAAGGTCACACGCCTTGGAAAATCAATGGGAAGTAATGCCTGTACTCGTAAAATATGGTAAGGATATAACAAAAAATCCACCTAAATTCTCCAAACAATCGCAAATATTTAAGTGTTTAGCGATCTTCCTCGTACTCGTTTCAGGATGTTCTTCGACTTCGTGCAGCACTGCTTCCTCAATTTCAGGTGCTCTCACACTTAGAGGTCTACCTTCAGATGTTCCTTTGAACCAGTTTCAACAAGACGACGATGAATATTAGAAAAGGTTCGACTATCTAGCAAAGCACGATCGGGATATACTCGTAGATTGCGACAACTATATAAATAATGAAAAGATGTCGCTGCGAACAGACTTGAACAACACAGACTTGTCACATGTCAAAAGCCAGTGACATATTCCAGAGCAACTAGATATTTATTGCTAAATTGCGTTCTTCAATTATTACATTAATTTTCTCGGACAATAGAACGGTTTTTATTTTTTTTACTCAAAAATGGCGCATTGAAGGAAAACAATTTAAGAGAGATTATTTGTTTTAAATTGAATGGGGAATTCAAAAATAATTTTCATTTGGCAGAAAACCATTGGCGTACCATTTTTTTTTAATATCGATGCCAATACCCGTAAGCACGCTACTGTTAAAGCTAAAAATTATTTTTGCATTGAAAAATATGCAATTTTATTACCTTCCACTACGTACTAAATATCAGTGAAATATCTGAAGCGGTTCTGAAAATATTATTAATTTCCATTTTTTTCCTAAAACTTCAACACCCCGAGTTTTTGTAAGGAACTATTTTTGGACCATACTTTATAAAGCAAACTAACATTAATTTTTCATGTAGATTCACACCAGTAAATATTCGCATATCATTACGGAATATAACAGGTCTGTTTTATTACCGGATCAGAGGCTTCTTAATGCAACATCTCTCACTGGCATCAAAGTTGCAGCATTTACGAGGGATGTCTTTTAAGTTTTGCATATGGAAATAAAACAACACGTTAGATAGTTTTGAATGACTTTATTGTTTTTCGAAGTATTCTCCACGAAGATTAATACACATCTGCAAGCGCTCGAACCAATTCTCGAAGCACTTATTCCACTCGTTTGATGCCAGATCCAAAACGGCATTTTTGAATACGTCAACTGCTTCTTCTGGTGACTGGAACCTTTGACCACGCAGTCTGTTTTTAATTTTCTGGAAAGTAAAGAAATCGTTAGAACTTAGATCGGGACTATATGGAGGATGGACTACTAATTTCACGTTTTCTTCCGTTAAATACTGCCTTGTTTTTTGGGCTGTGTGCGAGCTTGCATTGTCTAGGTAGAGGATGATTCTTCTTTCGGGGTTGATTTTTCGAAGCTCGGTGATGACTTTTGGCAAACAGATGGTGGTATACCAATCCGCAGTAACAGTTCTTTGCTTATTAAGAGGAATTATTGGAATATGACCCGCTTTTGACACAAATGTCGCGATCATCTTTTACGAAACACTTCGGGAACTCAGCAAGGCATTCTTGTTGCGATAATTGTCTCTGAAAGTTGTAATAAATTATGGCGCGAAAATGTTCTCGGTTGAGTTCCATTTTTCTAATGACTTGGTGACACTTACAAATTCACTGTAGCGAGAACACTGCACGTATTGTTGTGAAACTTTGAATTTAAGTTTACTAAAGAGTGAGGTAAAGATTCAGTACTGACGTTCCATCCGCGCAGCCTACTATGTTTCTATATGCAAAACTTAAAAGACATCCCTCGTACAACCACCTACAACCCCAACCCCAAATGTTCCCACCAAAAAATCACTGAATTTCTGAAGCATCAAAAAACGAAGTTTGGGCGTTTTTTAATATTTTTTAGCCCGTAGCTCTTCCGCAACCGGCTTTCAAGGACTACAAAACTGTTTGACCTTGGCTAGCAACCTTATGTTGAAATGCCGACTGTCCAAGCTTAAGTGGGAGACAAGGATGAGTGGATATACCGAAAGACAGACACACGACCCGTAATGTACGTTTCATGGCACATCAAAAAACATAATGGTTCTCTTATTTTCGACATCGCAACTACAGTACTTCCTCGCCAATAGGTGTGAGCATTAATAACAACCTGTCAGGTCTTAACTATCGATTTTATCAAAAATAACATGGAAATGCGGAGACTCGAATGCACTAAAATGCAGCAGGTAATTGCTTTGCGGTTTTTCAAAAATGGCAGTCGAAGTAGATCGTCCCCTAGTAAATATGGGAGGGGTTTGCTGAAATTGTATATTACGGGTGTATCAGGGACAGAAGTTAATTATGGGAGCAGTATGTTCTGACATTTCGTTCAGGTAACGCATTAGGCGGTGAAATCACATGAATTAGAGGCAGGATGGAAAGATCATCAAAACAAACCAATCTGCGAAAACTGGTACCGTCGGTTTTTGTTATGCATTATACGTTCACAAAAAGTTGTTTCCATACTTTATATTGAAAGTTATACTGTAATTTTCATGCTGAGAATCATTCATGTTTGTCTGGCTCCTAAATGAAGTCACATATATTAGAATTACTCTTTACTGACACGCGGGTGACCTGTTTGAAGTACAAGTAACAATTCTGATACATCCTGTCGACAATATTTTCTGTTTCTCAGTTTCTAGGTGTTTTTTCTCCTCTTATTTATATGTAATTTATATGAATAAATGTTTCACTCGTCGCCAAATAAAACCCAGGAGGCAAATATTTCAGTTGTGGATTAATCTGACGACCAGCGAATCATTCAGATTTCATCAACGAGACAACCACAGAATCTGGTTCAGGTGCTTCGTTAATATTTTTGTGGCCCTTGTGCTTTTTTAGAGTAGTAGAAATGGGATTTTGTTTTATTATATTTTTAATGCAAGCTCTGATGTGCCGACCTATTTTCGTACCGATACCGCATTGGCATTGGCTCTTTAACGAGCTACCATCCGACACATTCATCACCTTCGTCCTATCAGGGTGTGACGTGAACTGGATATGACCGAAATCGACGAAATAACACGGCAAGGTTGCCTCATCTGAAACCCTATTTTGAACATCGTATCTTTGAGTTGCGTGTTCTTGGTTCTTCCATTGTATATCTTCCTTAATAATATATAAGAAATATTGATGAGTAGAGGAAGCACTCTTAAGTCCTTTCGGCGACGAATATTGAGGATTTCTAAATACCTTACCAATAATTTTATGCGTAAAAGAATATCCTTAAAGTTGGGACTTTCCTTTCAGAAGCAATTAAGTTCGAAATGTGAAAGATAATGTGCGATAAAACAACAGAGAAAACGTGATAAACGAATTAAAAAATACTCACTATTCTCTGAAACCCTGTTACATGTTTTGATTGTAAAGACTGTTGAAACCGTCACCACTGATTCAGTACACAGGTCTGTTAACCCTCCTTTTGAAGCAACATCAGAAGCTGTCTAGGTGTCCAGCTCGGCGACATTTGTAAGGTATAAACAAATCTACCCAACTTGGGAAAGAAACATAAAGAAAAATGATCTGAATACACTTGAAAGGTATCAGTACATTAAATACACTAATCAAACATCAAATCGATACCTTTATAGCTAGTGGAATGTGCCAATTTCGATTTTTCGTGATCCATTTGTAAATGAAGAGGTTAAGCTGAATACGCGCAACACTTGATCTGGATCCTGTCGCACAGCATTTTTTTGAATCTTGATATATAAGTTACCTTAAAGCTTTGGTATACATTGAAATTGAAATACCACAGACTTCGTAATTTGTACGACAGAGAAGCGCGAGGAGCGTACAATACGTGTGTTAGAAAGAGATAGAAGCACCCTGTTGCCTAGCAACCCAATTACAAGATCACGGAAGCCATAGGTGCACTTTTTCTAACATACATATCGCACGCTTATAGCGCTTCTCTCTCGTTCACATTACGACGCCAGCCAAATTTGGATCTCACCGTATATGTTACTAAGAACATATTTGCTTTTTGTAGCATGAATATCTGTAAATTCCCACCTTAAGGACACCCTATATCATTAAAATGTAGAAGTAGGACAGTTGTGTTTCATAAATAATACGGCTAATATCCCCACAAGAAAAATTCAAGTGAGATTAGATCGAGTGATCTCGCAAGCCAGTTCACCACCAATCACCTTATGTCTAATAATTTCCTATATTTTTTTGCTTGTTCTCTTCATCCTGTTATTCTCATTATATGACCTGGTAATCTAGTTCCAAGCACACCCTTTTGAAACAGAGGAGCCTTCTGTTTATTTTATTGTTAAATATCTATTCTCTTCAACTTATCTAATATCTGTACGAGACATCTTTTCTGGTGCTTCTTTTTAAATTCACGGTTCCTTGTTACTATGAAAAATCGTCGATTAATTCACAGTGACTCTCGAGCAGTATAAATGTCAATATTTAGCCTACTTGTCTGTTCTGCTATGAGACCGCTATTATCTTTAAAATCAAGAAATTAAACACTTTGCATTATTACTCCGAATTTTTAAGATTTACCGCATCTAAGACTTATCACCAAAATGCTAAATACATGCGGCCTAGGAAGAATAATCTTTCTAACATCGATGACGGCCTATGATACCAAATGAGGCAACCTCGAGATAAGACAGCGCAAAGCGCCATCTACCACCAGTATCGACCACTGCGTACGTTTATTTTGTTCAATTGGCAAGTAGACCACATATTCTACACAGGCTTCTATGTTTTCGTTCGTGGTCCGAGAGACCCTAAGCTTGGACCATACTGCGGAGTAGCCAAAAAGAACGAAGCAGCTGTTCATGGATGAACGACCGAAAGCAAAGCAAGTCCATTTTATTTTATGGCAACCTACTGTGAAAGGTAAAGCTGCTACACACAGTGCCGGCGGCAATGCCGCCGGGTTTATGCCGAGCGGCTATGCCGCCGGCACAAGCCGTCAAGCATCATACCGGTTGTGACAGTCACATAGAAAGCTAGTGAAGTGCTACACTTCTGGGATTCCATAATATATCATTTGCATTAAATTTTTCAATTAAGAGCAGCACAGCTTCGTCGTCCCAATTAAACGACATTTTAATTTGTTTAAACACACAAACCGCACAACACTACCGCTCGAATGCCAGGAACGAAGTGACGCCGGCAAGCCGCATAACCAGCCGGCACACCACGGCGGCTCCTTTGCGCGGCAAGGCCGGCGACTTTGTATGCCGCCGGGTGTACGGCGGCACTGTGTAATAAAAGATATCATTTCTCAAATGGCACTCAACCTTATGGAACGTTTATAAATGTGACTCTAAGTACCAATTTCACCAACATTAATATATTTGACGATCAGTGGAACTAATAGGAAAAGACCTTATCGAATCGCAATTTGACAGAAGCTGTCAAAGCTCTCTGAATCTCGGTGATTTCTATTCAAATGTTGAATAAAGTCGTGAAAAAACGGTTGCCTTATAAATAAGGGTATATTATAGATGTAATATTATGTCTTTGTGCTTTAGAGTTAGCACAACTTTCATAGCATTTCAGATTTTTATCATTTCAGAAAAGACGGTCAGTTATTTAAGTGGGACCAATGAGAATGCGGCAAATAATAGGTCGATTTTCTAGCTATTATATTTGGTAGGATGTTTTCTCTGTTTTTGACGACTGTTCGAGAATGGTGATCTAGTTTTGTCTGTATATCACGTACAGGGTGTTGTACATAATACGTACCGGTATGTACCGATTTTTGTTATTTTTCAAAAAAAAGGAAATAAAACGTATTACAACTGGTTCATCATCTTTTGTTACATCAAAAACAATTTTTTCCTATTTATGATCTAGAAATCCACACCAAATGTAAACAAACAGCACATTCGGCATTTCTGGGTCCTAAAACATCGATATTTGTAAACGTATCCGCATCCACCTATCCATCTACCACCATCGTCTAGACTCCAGATATTATAAGTCAGGATCAAAAATACCTATTCATGAAAATATATCTCCAAAAATTGTTATATTTTCTTATTCTTTCTATTATTATAACACGTCTGGGATATCAATTGCTTTTAAAGTGATCTGCAGTGTTGCCAAATCGGGAAAAAACGGAATCGATAAATAGTGTCGTTGAGTTCGGTATAAGGTAAATGCTGTCCCAATATCAGTGGTAGATCAAGGACCTTTGAGTCATGAAAAACGTCTGTTATTGTATTGGGCGCGGGCACATGTTTGAGGGCATAGTTCTATATTACAGCTTCTACAATGTGCATACTGGTCGCTCTTTCAAAGTACTTCGCAAACCATTCTGGAAACTGCTTTTTCGATTCTTGCTTATGGGATTGTGAATATTTTTCGGTTTTACCTCTGAACTCACCTCGCATTTTAATTAAATATTTATTTTAAAAACAGAGAGGTTTCGGTTTTTTTATTGCTTGTCCGGTGATGAGGTAATGACGGTAATCTGCCAGTCTGTACCTTTTGT